CTTTCGAGCTGGATTTCCGCGCAAGACAAACCGGACATGATTCACCCATCAGAAGCAAGCGAGTCCCCTGGCTTGCACGCCAGTTTTATTGTGCTTTGCTTAGTTAATTTGTAATTAATTAGGATTTATGTAATATTTTGGACTGTACTATTCTTTCATTCGGGACATGAAATATTTTGGACCGTATTTATTTATTCGGACCCTCTGCGCTGAGGGCACAACGTGTAAAAGTTGTGGGTTGAGTTTGTATGTCCCTCCAAACCCCACGTCGCTTTCTCCCTCTTTATTTATCCGCTTTGATGGTTGATTAGGGCATGTTTAAATATTAGCATACAGTTTTATGAAACATGTTTACATCATTCATCTGTTTTGCACTGCACGGGGCTCGGCGCACCATACTAACTGCATCGTACTTTCAATTCCAAATTGAATACATGAGTAGTTCGTAGCATCTCATATACCAGTCTTAGAATAGCCGAGGCTGCCTATAGTTGCATTTCGCCATTGTGTTGGCATAGACATTTTCTGTGATACTTAGGATACTGCATGATTTCTAAAAGGTCTATTGGCTTGAGTTACTCAGTAAGTTTTATGGCTTAGCATCCTTTCTGCATGCGCTGTGAGTGCTGCCATGAATAGCATGCTTTACCATGAGGCCTATGTGCTTATCTGATACATCTCTGAGTGTGCCTGTGGTTGAAGGTTGGGTTATTGATTGGAAAAATCATCAAATGTTTTCTCTAAATCTTCTGGGTTGCAACTATTTATATAAAAAAAAAATATGTTTAGTTCCATTCGCGATCCACTTGTATGCTGTGCGCTCTATATCCAATAAACCGGGTGAATAAGAACTCGCAATGTTTTCAAAAATGATATCATGGTAGTAGTTAGCTCGGTCTATGACGGGCAAGCGGGGGTGCTCACAAGTGACCTCCCAATCGTACCCAAGTTCCCGAGCCGAGGCACTTTCTGATCACGTGGCCTTTTGGCACCGAGTCAGGGTTTCCTAATTTCCCAAATAAATAATTCGTACTCTGTATCTGCAGTAATTGCACTTCCTAAAAAATCATTTCCTAAAACGATTTGCCGATTTGACTCTTTGGTTCAGATTAGAACCGTGACAACGAAAGTCTGAGTCCGAGCTGAGCGAGGTCCCCGCGGCTGTTACACTGCTCGATCTGCCGCCTGTTCTCTTGTTTCTCTCTTCGTCTCTCGATCGCCTCTGCTCCTCTTCGCCGCTCTCTCTCGCCTCCTCTCAGATATAGTTATAGAGACATATTGATATAAATATGAAATACTATAGAGAGCTAGAACTATGAAGGTTTTCACTCTTAGAGCATCAATTCTGACATATTCATCTTGGAACTTCAAGTTTGTATTTCACATATAGAACTAAACTATTTCTGCAACAAGTAGTTGCACTAAAGTAGCTTTGTATCTTTTAACTTTTCTTTTCCCCACTTTTTTATAGAATTACTTTCTTGTATGACACTTCAAGCACATCATGGATTGTATTGTCTCGCCACCAAATTAATCTTGCCTGCCATGATGTCATTTTGATGAAAGACGTACCAGCCTCACCATTTTTGCTAGTGGTCACCACTTTTGATGTGCCAGACCAGAAAATGATTAATGCTTTTCCACTAAAATCTGCTTCACCCATGTATAATGATGCATTCTGGTGGGCTATATTCATTTTTCTGAGTGTGCACAAAAGGTCGTGAAATTGATCAAGTAATGAAATTACTTATTAGGTAGTCAGCTGATTAGAATCCTAGCTGAAGGCAGAAGTCAACTTGTTGGTTGCAGATGATGCAACCTTTGGGTCACAACTCGGATGGGGAAAGGCCTCACTTTGTGTTGCTTCAAGAGCAGGGAACTTATGAAAGATTGCATCAATTGACACCCCTACAGGTGAGCATAATGATCTCTACGATAAAAGTGAGGAAGAGGAAAGGCCCATTGAAATTTTCCTTTTTGTTTTACCTATAATTGCTCTTAATTTGTTATTGAAAACTTAAGCCTTGTTTTGACATGATGCTAAAAAAGTCAAAAAGTCACTATCCTATTTAAATCACATTATCTTATTTAAGTCACATCACCTCTCATCACTTCAAACCCAATCCATACCCAATTCATATTTCATAAAAAGTCAAAAAGTGCACTTATTTAGATCATCCCAAACCACTCTTTACTATGTTTGTACTATATGATAAAAAATGTGATATGGAAACCTTTCAGTGTGTTTGGTTTGAGTTTTTTGAATTAAGTTTTTTAAAAACTGAGTTTTTTGATTTTCATATTTTTTTGTTTTTAGTGAATATTTTTAAAATTTTAAACATTTTTTTTTTATTTTTTTAGATGCACCTTACTTAGATGTATCTAAAAAGTAAAAAATTTGTGAAAAAATATTTTTAAAAATTAATAAATACATAAAAATACAAAAAATGTAGTGAATTCTCGTTTTTTTTTTTTTTTTTTATTTTTGGTATTTAGTGGATTTTTAAAAGTTTTTTTTCAAATTTTTTTAACTTTTTAAGTATATTTATGTTAGATATGTCTAAAAATTAAAAAAATTGCTCAAAATATTAAAAAAATTTCAGTAAAAACAAAAAAACACGGAAGATAAGAAAATAGAATTTTCTGAAAAGTGTTTTTGAAAAATGATAACCAAACATAGTGTTTATTTTTTTCTTTTTAATCACATAAGCATGTGGTGTGGGTTTTAACCACGTAAAGCTTGTAGCTCTAAGTAGGTCATCTAAAAGAAGAATTATTTAGATTTACTAATTTATCTATACTATTATATATGTGAACACTGGACCTGTTGTCCAAATGTTTGGTGGTTTCTCCTTCTGTCACGTGTTTTTTATTTTCTAATTAAAAAAAAAAAATGATAAACAAAACTCAAACCTTAGACCTTGAATTTGTCAAATAAGACTCTTAGTACTTGACTAGCACACAACATTTAGTAAATATTTTATTTTATATTAATTTATTTGAATTGTACGCGCATTGCGTGTGCCATCTGCTAATGTCATTATATGATTCTTTTTGTGTCTTTCTTGTCTAATCACATAAAGCACGTGGCATTGCATTTAAACCATGTAAGCTTATAACTGTAAGCAGTTATCTCAATTAAGAACTATACCAGATTTAGTGATTTCAGTCATTGTCTGATCTGATTCTCTTACTTTCTTGCTTTCTTTGTTTTTTTGTTTTTGTGTTTTTTTTTTTTGTTTTTGTATTTTTTGAAAGAAATCATTTCAAGGCATTCCTATTTGCATCTCTTCAAAAATTCTTAATGTTAAAATTTGTAAAACACCTTCTCAAAAAGAATTTATTTGTGATGTCAGGGATTTAGGCCTTTCTGCATAAATTTGTCCTCTTAATTCTGTTAATGTTTGCCATATGCAGGAAGAGAGACTCAGAAGGTTGAAGCATCGGATGAAGGTTAACTTTGATGCTTCCAGAGTAGAACATCAGGTGTGTTTTCCACTGCCAAATTAGTTTATAACCTTGTATTTAGTACTAGACTCATCGTGGAGTGACAACAACATGGATCATCAAAAGCAGAGATTTATTATTTGACCATATCCAGACAGAAAATAGGACACTGTTATAGAAGAAGGCTAGGGCTCATACATTGTAAATTTTAACATTCCAATGTTCTTTTCGAATTTCGCTTTGTTTGACTTACTTTCAAGATTTACACGACCACAGGAAGGTTTGAAAGCTCTATGGTCTGCCACATACCCTGGTCAGGAGCTCCATGGCTTAGTATCAGATCAATGGAAAGAAATGGGTTGGCAGGGCAAAGATCCATCAACTGATTTCAGGTTGCCGTTTTGCTTTGCATGTTTTGTTATGCTGTTTTATCATCAACTTTTTTGTTTTCATTGTTTGATGTGAACAGTTTTTATATGTTGAACAGAGGAGCGGGATTCATTTCGTTGGAGAACTCATTGTTTTTTGCCAAGACATTTTCAGTAAGATCCGAGTTTGGCGGGACAGACTTTTTCTTAATGATAAAACTACCTATTTGAGATCTTTTGCAACCATGCAACATACTTTGAAAAACATATTATGCTTTGTTTAAGTTTTCGTTTTCGTTTAATTTGCTGCAGACATCTTTCCAGTGTCTATTAAAAAAGCAAGGAGGGAAGCGAGCTGCGTGGGAGTATCCATTTGCTGTTGCTGGTGTAAATATCACATTCATGATCATGCAAATGCTTGATCTAGATGCCAGTAATGAGAAAAATATTTCTTATTCCGAGTGTAAAATATTTGATCAAGTCACACACACACACAAACAAAATGCAAGAAGATTCTTGTAACCCTTTAGTCTCCTCTATGTGTCTTGAGGTGACAGATGAATCCAAACATCTCCTTTTCTTTTTGCATGTTTTTTTGGGTGCTCTGCTAATTCAAGTGATTGCAATACTTGCAGCAAAACCCAGGACGTTTGTCAGAACTGTTTTCTTGCAGATGTTGTCAGGTAAGAGGCTGCAACTGAATCCTAACCACTGTTTCAAATCATAAAATTATTTTTGGAAGGTCTTTATCTGCTACTGATCAAACATGTTAAGAGACAGTTTGAGGCATGTTTTGGTGTAAAACATTGGGCCTGTTTGGTTGTGTTTTCATTTTGTAATTTTTCATTTAATTTTGTCTTTTTTTTTTCCGCGCCTGTTTTTTTCAAAAAAAAAAAAAATGATGAATAGTTTGAAAACAGTCAACCTTTTCATATTATTTTCATTTTATGTGCTAGAACATATTTCAAAAATAAAAAAAAAAACTGTTTGATGTTTCCCAAAAAATTAGTTGTTTTTCGAAAGGCTTGCCCAACCCAGAAGTTCACACATACTCAGCAGATTTAATTTTGTGTGTTTTGAAATTAATTAGAATTTTCTTTATGCATTTTCAGAAAATGAGTGGGCATTTGACTTGCTTTATTGTGTGGCTTTTGTGGTTATGGACAAGCAATGGCTTTTCCATAGGATGTTTTGAAATCGACTCGGGCTCAGCTTGAGAAGGAACTTCTAATGGACGATGTCCTACGGATCGACGACATGCCCTCTTATACCCTGCTCTTTTAAACCGTGGCCAATCCAAAGCATTGCAGGCCAGGGATGTCTCAAATTGAATATATCTTTATTATAGGAGCTCTTACCGTCTTCCACATGACACAACCGTCCAATTGGTTTATTCTTTCATACACCTCTTTCGACTCCTTTCTCTGCAACAGTTTTTTAATCTTTTAACAATGGTGAGTACTGGGAAAGTACGAGGACATTTAATAAGGTAATCTTTTTGTCTTTCTTCTTCTGTATATGAGAAACTTTGATGAGATGAGTAGTCTTTTTCTTTTGCTTTTGCTTTTGATTCTCTGATCAATTCAATGTTGGAAAAGCTTGGATGTAACTGGTATCAGAGGATTGAAGTTAAATCGTTATGCAAATCTGTTTCAGATTTTTCTATTTAAGAAATCCATTTGTTTATTGTTGGTTTTCTATTTATCATGTTTTGTTTTGTTTTTGTTTTTGTTTTTGTTTTTTTTTCTAGGGACTTTATTTTTTCCTTTCATAGTTTAATCAATTTTTTTAAAAAAATGTATCTAAAACATAAATTATTTGTAAAAAAAAAATCACTAAAGATGACAATTAAAAACCAGCACTTTTTTATGTTTTTCTTTTGTGATTTTTTTCCCCTGTTTTTCATAAGGAAAAAATGCACTAATAGTTGTTAAAAGATTGGTGTCATTTTGGTCTTTTAAATTTTAATTTTATTAATTTTGTTCTGAATGTTTTCAATTTGAGTCAAATTAGCTCAATTCTAACCAATCGTTTTAATTGTTAATAGAATCATTATAAATTTCAATTATGATTCTTGAAATTTATTTTTTGTCATTTGGCTCTTAATTAAAGTATCACTTTTGTCAATTTTGATCCTCCCTATTGTAAGGTTATGTTTCATTTTTTTATTCAAAATTCAGAATTAAAGTGATAAAATTAAAAATTTCAAATACCAAAATATTAGATCTTGCATATTTTAAAACAAAATGGACCTACATTGTGTGGATCTCACCTCATGTGAGATATTTGATAAAATTTTTGATAAATTTTTTAAAATCGCTAATATTACTCATTTTAAAAACATGTGTTTCTTATTTTTGTTTTCAAAACTTCTGAGCATACCATACCTTTTTGTTTTTCCCCCCGTTTTCCAAAATATATATATATATATATACATCCAAAAAGCAAATTATATATATAATACACACAAATACATACATATTGGCTTTTAAATAATCAAACCCATTTCATAAATCAAAACCATGTAAAAATAAAACATTTCAAACTAACCATATTAGATTAAGAGAAATAGGAAATTATATAACTCTTCTTGATAAAAGCATATATATATACAGGAAATGTTTATAACATAACTCATTCAAATGTTTCAAAATGGGAAACATTTTTTTAGAGAAAACTGTTCTTGAGAAACATTTCAAGAAGAGTTTTGAAATGTCAACTCTTCTTGAGAGGGTGTGCTTTTATCAAGAAGAGTTTCGAAATGTTTCTCGTGGCTAGTGTTGGGTGGTAAAAAAAAAAAAACTCAAAACTCAAAATGGAAACACATTTTTTGTGTTTTCATTTTTTGGCCAAATTTATAAACTGAGACCACTGATTTATAAATCAAAAATTTTACCGAATAAGTTTTTATTTGAGTTTTTAAAATTTTTATAAATATAAACAGAAAACTGAAAACGTAAGTGTTATCAAATGGCACCTAAAAAATTTGTGTCATTTTGGGCTTTTAAATTTTAATTTTATTAATTTTGTTCTGAATGTTTTCAATTTGAGTCAAATTAGTTCAATTCTAACCGGTCATTTTAATTGTTAATAGAATCATTATAAATTTCAATTATGATTCTTGAAATTTATTTTTTGTCGTTTGGCTCTTAATTAAAGCATCACTTTTGTCAATTTTGATTCTCAATATTGTAAGGTTATGTTTCATTTTTTTATTCAAAATTCAGAATTAAAGTGATAAAATTAAAAATTTCAAATACCAAAATATTAGATCTTTGCATATTTTAAAACAAAAGGGACCTTCATTGTGTAGATCTCACACTCATATAAGATATTTGGTAAAATTTTTGATAAATTTTTTAAAATCGTTAATATTACTCATTTTAAAAACATGTGTTTCTTATTTTTGTTTTCACAACTTCTGAGCATACCAAACCTTCCCCCCCCCCTCCCGTTTTCCAATATATATCTATATAATAAGGCATAAAGATTTTTGAAAAATGTATCAAAATGTATGTGAGATACATTTTGATCCAATGGCTTAAATTACTTCATCTAAATTTCAATGGTTAGGATGTGTTTGAGCATCAACGGTCCAAAATGTAATGGTCCAAAACTCTCCTCTCTGTCACACAGGTATCTTCTCTCTCTCTCATTTCAATTTTTGAACTCTCTCTTTCTCTCTCTCTCTCTCTACCGTGCGACGGCCAGCAACCACCTCTCCTCATTGCGACGACCACAGACCATCGCGATGCCGACACCACCGACCGCCTCCTTTCCTCTCACCCTCCTCTTTCGGTTTGGTGGGTTTGGTTGTTTCTGATTTCTGACATGTGGGTTGATCTTCCAACTTAAATGGATTGATCAATCAAGTAGGTTGATTACGTTATAAATAAATGGATTGATTACCATAATGGGTGTTCCGGCTGAGTCACGGTGGAGAAGTCAAGGCCGACGGGAATTGCGATTGATGGCGGAGATCATGGACGCCGGAGATCTACGGCGGAGGACGGTGAAGAGATTTATGGAAGATCTTGGATCTGTTGATGATGCGATAAGGCATGTGGTTCAGGAGGTCAAGTTATTGGCTAAGAAGGAAGATCGGGAGGGTTTGGATTCATCTATCAACGAGCTTCTTCTTCTTGGAATGCAAGGGTGAATTTCTCGCTTTTGATTGTTTGAATGTGTGTTTTCTTTTTATTTATTTTACTTCTGTTTGATTTTTGTGGAAATATAGGAAAATTCCACATAAATGGGTGTTCTGTTTGATTTTTTTGTTTGGATTCATCAATTAATGTTTGATTTTTCTATTTATTTTACTTCTGTTTATTACATATTGAGCTGTTTCATTCTTCATTGTTTGGATCAAGAATGCCAAAAAAATTCCATTTGAATGAGTAGAGTGCAATATCACTATGCTGTATATCTCTGTTAACCTTGAAACCGAATTTCATTCTTTTCCCTTCGGGAGCTTGCATATAGTCAGTGACAGGGCAGACTGATTTATTTATTTATTTATAATGTAATCAACCTACCTGACATGTTGGTTGATCTTCCAACTTAAATGGATTGATCAAGCATTTTTCTGATTTCTGATTTCTTAAATGGATTTAAATTTAAATTTTTTGAAAGTTTTGGGTCTGAAATGGGTTTCATTTGTATGAAAATTGAGTTTAAATTGAATTTATGAGTTATGTTTATGTAGAAAATGGTTTTTTTGTTTGTTTGTTTGTTTGTTTGTTTTTTTTTTTTTTTTTCTGTGTGTAGATAAATTTAAACTCCAAATTTAAATTAGGTTTAGATTGGGTTATGTTAAAAAAACGATCATAAAAGTCAATTTTTATTTTAATTTTATTGGGGTGTATTTATGTTTGAGTACTTTTACAAAATTCATTTCAAACTCAATAAATTTGATAAATTACATTTTAAATCAGTACTTTTAAATTTAATTATATTTTAATCTTATAATTAATTTAGAAATGGATATACACTAGGTGACACATTATTTTTATGAGTAATATATTTTTAAACTTCCAAACCAACCCTGGGGACTTACCTGGTTCGAATCTATTGGGAAATCACAATACTGTATTTATTATTATTTTTATTTTTAGAATGTTAATTTATTTAGCATTTATTGTTTGTTGAACAAACTACAAAATTTAAATTCTGAAACAACATAATAATTATTTATTTGGTAGTATTTTATATATCAATGGGTATGAACAACAGAATAATTATTTGTTTGTCCGCAGTGGGAGTATTTCAGTGCTTCTCTGTGAGCTGCTTCACTAGAGTTTTGGGTTATTTCGTTGTTATTTTATTCGAGTTTTATAAAGCGTATGATACAAGTAAAATTGTTACAATTTTTTAAAAAGAATACTATTTCTTTATTTTTTTAAATATTTTTGTCAACAACTATAACAAACTTCATAAATTTTAAATTATAAAATGATACGTATGAATTACAATTGTATTTTGATCACAACATTATTTATAATCTCTAATCTAGGAGGATCTGGTGAATATTGAAGAACACAAAAACAGAATTGAAGCAACAAAAACAGAGCTACAAATTAATGTTGCAATGATGGAGATTGGCCCACTGATTCACCTAAAATGCCGTTCTAATTTTGATAAATTCCACAATTTTGTAGGTATGGTATTAATAATCATAGGTATTTTAAATGTCGTTCTAGCGTATGCCCGCAAAAGGGAACAATGGTGGATTTCATGTAGGAGCTTCATTTTGACTTATCTTCTAAAGTACTTTCTGTTGTAAAGTACTTTAGAGGATGGCATTTGTGCCAACTTATTTGTCAGATTGAGAAAGAAACTAATTTCTGTTGTAAAGTACTTTCATTTTTTGCTTCCTCCTTATCTCTTGCATGAATTAGACAGAGGAAGTGGATGATTTTGAACTTCTTTTTCTCATCTATCAATGAGAAGTGATGGGACTTTGCAGAGGATACAATGCTGATGAATAAATTGCTGAAAAACATCTTTCTAAGACTTTATTTTGCGAAAAACATCTTTATCTACCTCCTTTTCTTACTGGATCAATCACAAAATTGTTATGGCATGCAAATTTCTCTAAAGGATGGCATTTGTGCCAACTTGAGGTCTTGGATTGCAAGAAGGTTGCATGGCCGAACTCTGTAACTGAAGAGAAGTATTGTGTTGAGGACCGCCTTTAAAAGAGTTTGCATATGAGTGCAAAATAAACCTTTTGACAGGTCGAATGCATCAAGTACTTTATTTGTGTCTTTTTTGGTTTGTTTGATGTTGTTTCCCTCATCTATAGCAATCACAAGCTATGATATTTAGAATTGCGGCGTGTGTTTGTGACCATTATTTTTATCACATCTGGTTTGTGGCGGTGAAGAATTATAAGTGGTTTCAATTTGCTCGACTTTTTTTTATCAGTTTTATTAATGAATCAAATTAAGAAAATGAAGAACTTCACTTCAAGATTTTAATTTTTTTAGAAAAAAGTTAAAGAAAAAAGTTAGTAGCTTGCAGTTCTAAATGCATCATGCAGAAGATGGCTTTACTGCCAGACAAACAGCAAATTTCAAGATTTTAATTTTTTTGCTTTGCAAAGCCTCATTTTGAAATGCGATGCAGATTCGAGCACAATTGGCTGCCTGTGGTGCACCGATAGTGGGTGACTCAATGTACGTGCTTGCTGCAATTGC